TCATATCCATGGGTTCTCCATGGCCTACTTGGGGACTTGAGCATGCGTGGGTTTGGTTACACGCAGGAGGTCCTGGAACCAGTCTCCTGTGTATGCCAAGGGATGACTGTACTACTTCTTACGTGGCCAGAACTCCTTTACTTTATTTTCCATTTTGCTATTACTCCTCTGCTTTGTTATTGACATCCTCTAGTGTGCAGAGTCTACACTTATCTGCATTGCTGTTTGGATCAGTTTGATTTTTCTCAATTCTCTTTGTTTAAAATCTTAATATACAATTGATAGCAAAGAGTTTTTTTCCCCCTCTGTAGATGCTATACATGGATCTCTTATCTGCTTTTTTTGGTCTCCATTTCTCTTGCTTTCTCTTCATAGGGTGATAAATAAGCTATAGAAACTTGAGATATTCTAGATACTTAGTATCCAACATGTTTGTAGTAGGGCTCTTGGTAAACCATCATACCTTTTTTTTTTTCCAGACAGTGTCTTGCTCTGTCCCTAAGGCTGGAGTGCAGTGGTGCAATCATAGATTATGGCAACCTCACATTCCTGGGCTCAAGCTATCTGCCTGCCTCAGCCTGCTGAGTAGTTGGGACTACAGGTGTGCACCACCACGCCTGGCTATTTTTTTTTATTTTTTGTAGAGACAGGGGTCTTGCTATGTTGCTCAGGCTGATCTCGATCTCCTGGCCTCAAGCAATCCTCCCACCTCAGCCTCCCAAAGTGCTGGGATTATAGACATGGACCATCGCACCTGGCCTATACTTTTAAATTATTTCAGTCTTCCTCACCTTCAATAAGTCTGGGACAGGCAGCCTAGCAACCATGCCTACCTTCAGTTTCTTTCAAAAAACATACCTATTCAGGAAACATTGCCCTTTTGTGATTTTATAAATTATCTTTCACTTTCTCTTCAGAGTAAGAAGAAAGCGTTTTCCTTTTCAAGGCAGGTTTTCTTTAGAAAATCCAAGGTTCATCCTGGCTCACATAAGTGTCTAGTTTTTAAAATAGGGAACTCTAACCAAGAGGCTAGAATGGTTAAAATAACGAAGTCTCTGTAGTTGTGAATATGAGATAGAGGATAGCTATGACTTTTTCATAAAATTCACTGGTCTCACCTCTACTGGACGGATTTTAGGTAGCATCACACAGATTGCCATCTCAGAAGAGAGCATGGAAGAGGCAGGGCTGGAATGGAACTCGGCTCTCACTGCTGCTGTCACTATGGCCACAGAGGAGGGAGTGAAGAAGGACACAGAGGAAATTTCAGGTATTTTTCTTTGGAGCTCAGATATCTTGCATGGTTTTGTGACCGTTTTCACCATTATGATTATGGACTTATGGACACAGAAGATCTCTTAATTACTTTGCCTGTTTTTTTCTCATGTATATAAATACTAACCATAGCTACAAACATCTTACTTTACTTTAATCCATGCAATAGCCCTATAAAGTCAGTTTTACATGGGAAGAAATTGGGATTCAGAAAGATTTCACAACTTGCCTAAGACTGGTCACACAACCAGTAAGTTGCAGAGCTGAATTCAGCTGTTGGACTCTATGTAGTCCATGCTTTTCATCCTATCAAACCGCCTTTAACTGTGGCACATGTCTTAGATAAACCAAGCCTAAGGATGTTAGATGGAAAAATTAGGTAGCAGGTATTTTAAAGCAGCAGTCTCCAACCTTTTTGGCACCAGGTACCAACTTCATGAAGACAGTCCTTCCACGGATGGGCGTAGAGGGGGGCGATCCCAGGTGACTCAAGTGCACCACATTCATTGTGCAGTGAAACCTCTCTGCCAATAACAATCTGCACTTGCAGTTGCTCCCCAGCGCCAGCACCACTATGCCAGCTCCACCCCAGATCAGCAAACACCAGACTCTCACAAGGAGCTCACAACCTAGATCCCTCCCATGCACTGTCCACAGTAGGGTTCGTGCTTCTATGAGCATCCAATGGCACCTGATCTGACAGGAGGCAGAGCCCATGTGGTGATGCCAGCGATGGGGAGCAGCTGCAAACACAGATGAAGCCTTGCCTGCCTACCACCTGCCACCCACCTCCTGCTGTGCAGCTGGGGCTGGTTGATGGTGGTGGGGGCTGCCAACAGGTCACAGAC